GAGATGGCATTAATAGACTGGAACACCGCTATGAGAAATGTATCAGCCTTGGAGGAGATTATGTTGAGAAATAAAAAAAAAAAATTTTTAAAAACCTTGTTTTTCTTGGTCAGGCCGGAAACTTATCAATCCACCCTCGTATGATAGAATCGAAATGCCGCAGAAAACGTTCGATATCGTCACTGTTAACAAAAAAAAGGATAATAAAAATAAATGAATAAATCTATGAAAACTTTTTATATTCCTTGATCGTTGTAGTGGCGTCAGAAACAGAGGTAACAAAATGCGACTTGAATATTAACGCACAATGGCGTAACATATAGGGCAGAGGTAGGCTAGAAAGCAGAATCTCATTATAAAACTTTTAATTTAACCATTAATACGTAATTGAGTTATTGAACTGACTAGTATTTATCAATGATAAATAAAACATGAATTTCCATTGAAGTTTTACCAATGGTCCCAAAACTAAATCCTTTCGTAAGATATTCTGGTACGTTTTCATATCATTTTGACTATAAAATTAAAGATTATTGATGTATTTAATAATATCTGTAAATTTATGCTTATATCATATGTCACTCCGACATAAAAATGTTCAGTCTTTCAGAGTCTCTGAATGCGAGACTCGAGTCTCCGTCTCTCATTGAGTCTCTCTGGTGTCGCTGAGAGAGACTGTCGAGAGACTGTCAAAAAAACTGTTTAGCGTCTCTGAACGAGAGACTCGAGTCGCTCATAGAGAGATTCCCATCTCTGAACGAGTGACTCGAATCTCTGAACGAGAATCTCTCAATAAGTGGTGTTTCGATAGACATGGTTAAAATTTTCCAAGTTCAACATATTTCAGAGATTCCAGTCTTTCTACGAGAGGCTCGAGTCTCTCAATTTTTCAGTTTTATTCATTCAGTCTCTCTGTGAGAGACTCGAATCTCTGAATTAACAATTTTATCCTTCGAGTCTCTCATACAGGGACTGCGAGATATCCATCAAAACACCTAGGCAATAACTGAGAGACTGTGAAGGCTGTGAGAGACGCTCTCATAGACGCTGAAAGACTGGAGAGACTGAAAATTTTTGTCTAGGGTAGTTAATTCAGATAATAGTCCTTAATAATCAATATGTACACAAGGTGGAGAAGAAATATTTTATAGCAGAATTTATTAAAAAATACATCTATTTTTAAAGCAGATCATGTAGAATGACGAGCCTAAAAAGCGACTGTTGATACTTTTCGAAATTTACCATTCTCTATTCCCAATAAAATTACATTTTCGAAGCGGCAAGTTCGTTAATGTCAATAAAGTTTCACAGAACAACAATAAACAACAATACAGGCAAAACAAAAGGATAAAAACGCCTACTGCTAATTAGCAGGGAAAGATAAAAAACAAGAAAAAGATTCTATTACCACATCCGTCGAATACGTACATGTCTATCGACAAATGAAATAACCGAATTCGAAAACATGTGCAAATTTTACGTTATACCTACATTAAACAATTAA